GCTAGCACCTGAGGCATAAATACAAGTATTACTTCTCAAATTGTTCAGAATACTACTGTATTCTGTACCATAAGATGAATGTAATGTTCAAGTAAGTCAGATAAATGTCAAAGTTTTGCTTTGCCTTTTTTCCAGGACTTCTTGAAATCTATAGTATGGTAATAAATAGTGATAATATTCAAGCGCAGACAAGGAAGCACTGACCCAATACCTCCCCCCTCCCCCCTTTAAGTGGAATTAATATCTCATGGAACAATTCTGTCAAAACACCAGTGTGGAAAAGTTTAAAGTCATCTGTTTAGACAAAAAAATTACCTAGGAGAAATAAACTCATTTCTTTGAAATAAATTAGCTTGTACCACTGGTATACATTTATTTAGAAAGAAAAACAGTTTAAAAGACTACTCTAATTTGAGTAGTCTCACTGCTAAAATGAGAATGTTTTACTAATATACAAGAACTTTATGAATAGCTTGCTCAGGGAACTAAAACTAGAGAAGAAGTTATGAAGGACTACTGGCTCCACCCCCATATAAAACTACAGTTTGCTAATGGTGACAATCCAATCATTGGACCAGGACAGTTCAGGAAAACTGGTAAATGGAAAATCAGCAAATAATAAAGGTGGCATTTCATATTGAATGGTGGATTATTCAATAAATGGTGATAGAATAACTGTAACTCAACTTTCTGAAAATAAAGTTGAATTCCTACTTTGTCTTTTCTACCAAAATAAATTTAAGAAAGATTGAAGATTTAAATGTTAAAAACAAAAACACAAGAAAGAACTAGAGGAAAATATGGTGAAACGTATCTTTGTATGGGAAAGGCTCTTCAGAAGTCTTTAAAGAGTAAACTCAATTACATAAAAAGTTTAAATTTGTGCATGAGGAAAGTGTCAAAATCAAAGTCAAAAGACAAACTTTAACAAAAGTCTCCAACACATATGACAAAGTACTAAATGTGGTAGTATGAAGTCCAGTCAATAAAAGACCAGTGACTCAAAAAGAAAATGGGCAAAGTATGTATTTATAGAAAAAGAATTAACTTTTTAAACACCGAAAAGGAATGCAAATGTAAACCATAAGAGAGAGATCAAACATTTTATAGTTAACATTGCATAGGCAAGAATTTGTAGAAACATTCTCCAATTGTTGGTAGGGGCAACTAGCAAAACTGATCAAAATTTAATATGAATGTCTCACCCTAAATTTCAATTCTAGCAACTTACCCTATTGCACATGTACACA